ATATTTCAGGATTCGAACCCTTGAAGCAGAAACCTCAAGTAAAGTCGGAGTATTTCCACCTTCCCCTTTTATCACTTGGAGATGTGTCATGTGGGCCATGTCTAGAGATAATAATGGATCGAGCTGAACATGGGTCTAAGTCCCCTTGAAATTTTTTGGCTCGACTCTAGTTATCACATTGGTTTTCTGTGGTTTCGACAAGTTGAGTCGAATCGATTCGCCAGTTGATTGTCTTGAATTTTTAATTTATTTCTATATTATAAGAAATAAAGAAAAATAAAAAAGTTTCAAATTGACATTCACGCAGCTTTCTCCTTGAATATGATTTGGTGGCACCTAATCAGCAGCAAAAGCAACCACCTATGGCCAGCCCTTAAAGGGCTCGTGTAGGCGAGCCAACAAGCAGCTTCGGTGCTGTGCAGCTCTCGGCGAGCAGCTCAATCGGGATTTTAGGCTTATCAGACGAGTCGTTTCCAAGTCTAGTCGAGCAGCGAACAATTCGTTCCAATTCTCATCCCAATGTGTGCGCATTCCACTAGTTTGAAATTATTATAAACGATTTAGCACTTGTTTTGGCGGCTTTTTTTTTTTTTTTTACCGAATTAATATGAAAAACGTGAACGTTATACAAGGAAGGGAATAGGGGTTACCGCCATTGTTGACTTCTTTCTCACAAATCACTTAAAAATTTTGAAGAGAAGACTATTTTGCCTCTTAATTGTAGCATTCAATCTATTAAAGTAGAGTATTTTGGAAATTTTTGTATAGAAAAAGACATCTGCTTATGAGATTGTCAAATATTACGACTGGACTGACTGATTTGAGTTTTTTATTAAAATATGGGAAGAATGGCACCCAAACATGCACTTAATGGATAGTAGATGATACTTATGGTTTTTTGAAACATGTGATTTGGACATAAATAGTTAGTTTGATTAAAAACAAATAAATAACAGAAAAGAAATGAAACAAAAATAGACCCATTGTTTGATGGTCATTATTGGCAAAAATAATGTTTTGAATAGTGGTTTTTTTTT